AAACGACACAGGGCCTGTAGGCCCTTGTTTTCAGGCTTTTAGGCTGAAACGACACAGGGCCTGTAGGCCCTTGTTTTCAGGCTTTTAGGCTGAAATGACCCAGGGCCTGAAAATGGCCCTCGTTTGCAGGCGCAGCATGTAACACCCCCCCCTCTTTATGAAGTCAAGCCGGGTCGAGGGCGAAGCTGACGGTCTGAAGGTGGAACCTGGACGCGGGTGCGACGTGGAGCCGAAGATACCGGCTTGCCTTGCATCTTGCGTTCGTAGCGTGCGATAACATCTGGAGCTGTTAGTTGGATTTTCGCACGGGTCAACCAACGGTCAGCTTTGTGGGTGTAGTACGCAAAGTGTACCAAATATTCGGTTGGCCTGTTGCTGTAGCGTCGCTGAGAGATGATGTCGCCGACCTCTTGAAAACCGTCCATAGAGGGTGGGTCTTGCAATCGTCGCCCGGGAAAATCGTCATGTTCCGCTGGCGTGTAAAGAGCCAACTTGGAGCAATAAAAGACCGGGTAGACGGGCAAGTGGGCGGGCACCTGAATGGTGAAGGAACGTCCTTCGGGTGCATCCCCGGCGGGTGCCACGATCGGCCAGGGCCCCATCCATTTCGGGAGGAGCTTGCGAGAGATATCTTGTTCGAGGATGAGCTCCGCGATGGAAACCCAAACGAGATCGCCTGCGTGGAATGGACAAGGAAGACACAGGCGATTGGCATGTTGGCTCATGCGTTGTTGCGTCTTAGCCATCTGGTTGCATGCCTTGACAAGTAGTTATTGCATCTAATGCAAGAAAAGAAGATGGTCGTCGCTCTTGGCCACTCGTGGAATGGTTGTGTCCAACGGAGAGGTGACCGGCGAGCCGTGCTCGAACTCAAAGGGTGACATCCCGATAGTTGGGTGGATGGACGAGTTGTATACCAACTCGCATCCGGCAGCAGCTCAACCCTATCCTTTTGGTCGGGACGGATGAGAGTGCGAAGGAGAAGTTGTGTGGTCTGATGCGCCCTCTCCGTTTTGCCATCTGTTTGGGGGTGGCAAGCCGAACTTGCCTTGAGAGATGAGCTCCATCGTTTGATGAGTGCCAACCAAAAATCGGACATGAACCGAGTGTTGCGGTCGCAGACGATTTCCTTGGGATAACCCTTGGTTTGAATCCAACCGGCGTAAAGAACCTCGACCAACTCCGGTGCCTTGGCATGATGGCGGCAAGGCAAAAACATGGCGAACTTGGTGAGTCGTTCGAGCACCGTGAGAATCCCATCCACACTAGTCTTGTGCTTGGGGAACGGCCCGGTAATGTCCATGGCAATCGCTGCCCTTCGACGCAAGGGGACCGGTAATGGTCGCAACTCGCCGTACGAACGATGGTTGCGGGATTTGCATCATCCGCAAACTTCGGATGACTCGCAATAGCATGTGACGTCGTCGAGAAGGCCGGGCCACCAAAAGCGCTCGCGAAGTCGGCCAATCGTGCAATTGACTCCAAAGTGTCCGGTGGGAGGAGCATTGTGGAACTCGCCAAGAAGCCGTGTATTGCAAGTGAGAGTCACTCGGTACGCAAAGCAGGTCCTTCCCCCACGTGTGGACAGGCAAGTACCCCTCTTGGATCTGGTAGTGAGAAGGCATCGGATTAGGAGAGGAGCAAAACGCGTACTTGTCACGAAACTCGGTGTCGGCTTGGTAGCCACGGATGAAGCTGTCCCGCAGGTCGTCGTCGATCTCGAAGGTCGAATAGACTGCGGTACAATGATCCGGACGTCGTGAAAGAGCATCCGCAAAACGGTTAAACTTCCCCGGAATGTGATCGAGAAAAAAGTCGAATTGGTCGATGAAAGCCATCCAACGGGCGATGGTGCCATTGACGGTGTCTTGGGTCTTGTAGAAGACTAACGGATTGTTGTCCGTTACCCATAAGAATTGACTTCGACCAAGGAGGAAGTGCCTCCACCGTTTGAGCGAGTGGACGAAGGCTAGGAGCTCTTTCTTGCGTGCATCATCAATGGAGTGCACGACGGGCTCTTTCTTGGTGAAGTACTCGGCCGGGTGCCAGTCCACGCCATCGTGTTGTTCGAGGACGGCACCAATGCCATAGCCGGACGCATCCGTAGTGACGCGCGTTGGCAATAGCGGGTCGTATATGCGCAAGAGCTCCGCAGATAATAGCACGACTTTGAGAGCCAAAAATGATTCCCGCGCATCCTCCCTGAAGTCAAACGACCGATCCTCGCATTGAAGCTTGGTCAAGTGGGCCGCAATCTTCGAGTATCCCTTGATAAAACGTTGGTAGTAGCCGGCAAGGCCAAGGAACGAACAGACATCCGTAACGTTCCGCGGGTCCGACCACTCTTGGATGGCTTGAATCTTCTCCGACAACGGACTGATGCCTTCGGTGTAACAAAATGGCCCAAGTATTCCAGCTCTTACCAGACAAATTCGCACTCGTCGCGGTTGGCTCTGTACTTCGCGCGGCGGAGCGTCTCCAACACTCTTCGAAGGTGCTCAAGATAATCCTCCAATGTCCAGCTATAGATGAGAATGTCGTCTAAGTAGACTAGCACGAACCGGTCCAACATCGCACGAAACTCGTTGGTCATTGTCGCTTGAAAAGTCATCGGGGCATTGGTAAGGCCAAAAGGCATAATGACCCACTCAAAATGCCCATACCACGTCTTGAACACGAATTTGTAGCGATCTTGTGGGCGTATCGAGATTTGGTGATAGCCTGACTTCAAGTCCAACTTCGAGAAGAATTTCACGCCACCGAAACACTCGAGAAGGTCGTCAATCCGCAGAAGAGGTCCCGTATTCTTGACGGTTTGTGCGTTGAGCTTGCGGTAGTTGATGCACAAACGAAGATCCTCATTCTTCTTCCGCACAAAGAGAACTAGTGCACCTATTGTGAGCTACTAGGGCGGATCCAGCTCTTGTCCAACAGATCATCGAGTTGCGTGCGGAGAACCGCGAGCTCTTCCTCACTCATGCGATAGATGCATCCTTTCGGTGGCACGACACCGGCCTCAAGAATGATCTCGTAGGAGATCGACCGATCCGGCACCACACCGGTAGGAGACTCGAAGATGTCGGTGAACTCGTCGAGCAGCCGCACCACTAGGGGGTCTGAAGACAAGTTCGTAGGTGAAGATTCGTTCATCGCAACGGCTCGTAGAAAACATAGGCCTATCTCATCGGTCCGCTCGTGAGCGCAAGTGGCCCGAAAAGACTTGGCTGTTACAACTTGGCATCGGATCAAGGGGTGCGGAAGAGGAATGGTACACGACACGTCGGCGCCGAAGGCGTCGCACGGTAAGTGTCCGCTGATGGAAGTTAACCGTGTGATCCGCACTTGCAAGCCAAGGCATCCCCAAAATGATGTCGAAGTTCGTGTCAAAGACATCAAACGTCACCGGTTCGCAGGCATGAGGTGCGAAATAAACCGACACAACTTCAATGTAGCGATTGAGGAGTTGTTGCATCCGACTATCCGCGAACATGATCGTCGTCGGGTTTGGCTTCCTTCGAAATTGTGCGCCAAGGCCGGCCCTTTGGATAAAGGACTGGCTGATGAAATTGCGAGTTGCGCCTCTATCCAGCAAAGCGTTGCAGGACGCTTGCCCAACTTGGATGTGGACATAAAGGAGTGGTGCATTGTTATAATCGTACCGCTGCATGCGAAACTCGCGGGCCACCTTGCTAACATACGGAAGGATGTCCCCCACCATAGCTTCGTCATCCGTCGACGAAGGTGGTGGTGCATAGAAGGCTAAGTATGTGTGGAGATGGGCGCATAATGCTGTGCATTGTGGTCTCGGCAAGCAGCCTATGGAAGGGAGAGGAAGCCATGCAAAATCCTCGGACGTCAACGAGTCCAAGACCTCTATGTTGAACTCGTGCGTCAAATCCCTTGAAGAACCACTTGAAGACGATTCATTGTCGTTGTTGTCGGACGGAGAAGAAGCCGCACACACATCTTGTCCTTGAGCTTGAGAACGCAACGAAGGAACGAGCCGGGCAGCATAGTCCTCATAAGAATATAAGAGAGGACTGTCGACTTTCGCATGTGCCTCGGAATGAAGAGAGGTTGGTCGCGAAGCAACCGGTTTCGAAGGCGTCGAGAGTGCATCCGCATCACTCTTGGCGGTGCTCACTTTCCCGAAGGGAATTTGCCTTTGACTTGCGTGGGGCACTGAGCGGTGTCGTGCACCGCGCTGTTGCACCACAAACAATATCGATACTTAGTACGGATGTGGTAAACGCCTTCCGAGATACCGTAATGTGTCCAAGGCTCTTGAGCTGCTGGCCTGCCCCGAGTTATGAATTGGTGTGTGTCTTCGGTTTGCTGCATCCTCGCCCTATGGGGGGGCGGCCACCATCCGGAGCGGCTGCTAATCTGTCTCCTTCATCAGAAGAGGAAGCCTCATTTGAAGGGTTGGTCGGCGTAGTTGCTGCGACCACGACCACGACCACTTTTGGTCGATGCTGATCTCTGCCCTAGCTCGCAATGGACGAACGTCCCAAATTCTTGGCTTCGGTGTTCGTCAAGATGATCTACGAGGCTTTATCAAACAGTTGCTTACTTGTGGTTAGCGTCTCCGCAACTTGCGTCAAGGCGTTCTGCAACGCCGGACAACTCCTCCTGATGAAGAAGTGTTTGATGGCGACAAAGGTCGATGGCAAGTTGGGCGCGGACGCCAAGCGTTGGTACTCGGTTATCTAGTCCGTGCTTGGCAGGTCGTTCTGATAGAACCCTTGAAGTTTCTCAGTTGTCTGCAGATCGGGGGGCTCCACTTGGAACCGCTTATGCCATGCTGCCTTGAGATCAGCCCAACTGATCTTCGTATGCAGCTCGGAGACTGTGCCGGTGTGTGTGGACAACATGTTGTCTAGCCATGCCTGGCACTCGCCCCCCGAGCGGGAGTATAAGTATGCGCGCCGCTTCGGGTTTCTGACGTGGTGAATGTCCAACTTCAACTCGAAATGGCTTCACTATGGAATCGGGCCCGTCTTCGCTGCATCGCAGAAGATCGGCAGGCTGTCAAACTTTGGGATGCTCTCGTCAGTAGTCGCGGTCGGACTTGGTGTGGCAGCACAAATCTGCTGGTCAATCCACTCATTTGTCGCTGGAGCGCCGTCCTTGAGAGTCTCGGCGTCGATTTCCAAGACACTGACGTGGTCCGTCAAGTTGGAGGGTCCAGCGGGGTGGCTGTTGTAGGCTGCTGTTCTAGCCGGCGTACCCGGTCAAGCAGTTCGTCGATAAGTCGAGCCTGCTTCCGAACCAGGGTGTCCACGCAGAGGATGTCCTCTTGCTGTGCTGCACAGGTGGCAACCAAGTCGCTCACATGTTCGATTGTGGTTGCAAGTTCATGCACAACAGGGGGGGCATCCTCCTCTTCAGCAGCCACTGCCCATTCGCCGGCGATCACCTCGATGTCCCCCTCGGATTCGAGGATTTTGTCTCAGCATAGTCGACGGCGTCCATCTGCAGCCTTCCTTGCTGCCTCGGCGTCCTCCTATTGCTGTTGTTCAGCGAGGCGACGCTATTCCTCTGCTTCCTCATCTTCCTTCTTACGTCCGGATGTTGCCGCATCTGCCCGTTGCTTGAATTCTTCTACTATGTCCAGCATGCGGGTCTCATAGGCCTCAGTAGTCTCTCCCGACTGCTCATCCATGCCGCTTGTCTTTGAGCGGGTGAGCACCATGCACTGACGTGACCTGCTGTTGTGGTGACTGGTTGCTGACATGGCACTGCTAACGGCTGCTGCTGACGTGTCCTGCTGACATGGCAACTCGCCAATACCGCCGCAGGGGGTACCCGGAGACAGATAGAGAAGACCAGAGGGGGCAACAACATAGGTGGGGAGGGGTGGGTTGAGGTCGGATTCCACGATAAAACAGTTCTGTTTCCAAAAAGATTTGTCCGTCCGTAATGGAGATTACATTGGTAGGAATATAGCCTAGATAAGGAGCCACTAATCAAAAGAAGAAAAGTTTGAACTTTTGCAGAAAAAAATTCGAGAAATTAAAGAAATCCCGAGTTTTGCAAGTTCAGTAGGTCTCCCAATCTCCCTTGAAGTGCGAAATTAAAAGGGCCTTTACCCGTTCAGACCCTGAATAACGAACGCAGCATAATGGGGCCCACTCGACCAGGACTCAATTCGTGAAAAGCAGATCAAAAGACATGTTCTCTGGGTCAAAAGTCACATCCTAACTAAAGTGAGGAGTTGTGTCAAAGGTCACAGTCGAGCCCCAGGACGAACAGTTGCAGCATTCAATTGTGAGAGTCACGTCTGTTCGTCTAGGGGGCTGTGCAAGTCATGTCTGTTCGTGCAGTAAATGTGTCTCTTCATGCAATAGATGTGTCTGTTCATAAAGAAGTCAAAGAAATAAGGTCCCAGTCTAGATCCAAGTCAAAGAGGGAGTCTAGATGCAATCTGGAAGTCCGAAATTCAGGCCTAAAGGCCGCCGCAGCAGCAGACCCTGAGGGAAAGGTACTGGTACACATTCTGCAGTGGTTTGGGACTGGGAAAAGATCCAAGGAAGGTTGATTCAAGCCTCGCGAAGGGAGGCCAGCACTATAAAAGACCAGTCCAGCCTCCCCATACGACTGATCTCCACTGGCATTGATGCGTGGAAGTGCTGAAGCACTTGTGCGCTAGCATGCAGGGAGAATGCGCTGGCTGGAAGTTGCGCAAGCAGGAGAAGAAGAGGCTGGGCGCTGACTGGCAGAAGCAGCCATAGCCGCGCCAGCATTGTTAGTAGAAGCAGAGGGGTTAGCATTAGACATTAGTGAGTAGCATTCAGAGTAGATCCTCATAAGTAGGGAGTGAGCATGCAGAGTGAGACAAGGGAACCAAGACAGGGATCTCGAGAGAGTGAGAGAGAGAAGACAGGTTGAGGAGTTGGATATGGTGGAAACTTACCTGTTGGCGCCATACCTGTGATCCGAGGGCAGATGCTGGCTGAGCCAGGCCCTATGATGAAGATTGAACGAGAGAGAGTTGTATTCTATTGGCGCTGAACTTCTGGACTCGAGATACTCTTTGTATAATATTGTTGAGATAATATGAGCTGCGCTATCTGGTTCTCATCTCATCTCGATTTGGCTTTGTGTGAAGTTTCTTTATCTGTGTGATGACTTCTATGCATGCAATGAGATACACTCCAGCAAGCTATGAACAGTCAGGAAGCTATGAACAGTCAGGTTCCTTGCAATTTGGTATCGGAGCAGAACTTGTTGCGCTCACTGAAGTGCTGGCATGAGTGAGGCCGGCGAAAAGGATATGCTGGCTTGAAGATGCTGGCTATGGTGGAAGTGTGAAAAGAGACGTGGTTGGGATTGGGGGGGAGTAGAAAGCCGAAGAGGAAGGGGCTAAGGAGGACATCTTACCTGCGCGTGGAGCGTGGAGTGCGGAGCGATCGAGGGGACTTCATCAACGTCTGCGAATGAGAGAAGAACCTCTTTCCCCTTACCTGGCTGCATGTTGAGTGTGTGTTGAGTACCTCTACTTCCCCTCCTCTCTGGTGGTCGCTGCTGCTGTCTGGTCTACACTCGGTCTGGTCTGAAGGTCAGGACTCAAGTGTCAGGGCACGTCAGGGTTGAGAGCTGGTCAGAGTCCTTGTCTGGTCCTGTCGTCCTGATATCTGGTCTGACATCTGCACTATAGGGATTAGTAAAGATAGGAGATGGTTGGGGGTTGAGGCAGATTGCCACGTCAAGTTGCAAACAAGATATCATTCAGGGCCTCTAATATAGAGAACACTCCACCTATTCCCTGCGCAGGAGGACAGACAAACAAGAGTTAAAAAAAAAAAAAAGACAAAACCAGACCAAAAGAAGAGAGATACGCGGTAATCAAGTGGGACAGACAACGAGTAAAAGAAAAAAAAAAAAAAGTCCTATTGTATATTGAAGTTATAAAAGTTCTATATTCTCTGAAATTTGTTATTCATAAAGCAGCGATATCTTGAGTTTGAAAAAAAACAAAAAAAACAAGGCAGATCCCATTCACATAAGACTAGTATAGTACTGGGGTTGTCTACTTGTTGGGCCAGTGGAGGCCGTTCCTGTGCTGTCACCCAACATGGATGACTATCCTATGCAAGGGTTGTTGGCCCTCTCAGTTTTGTTGGGCCCATTATTTAGAGTCTTCTTTCCCTTGGGCTTCAGGAGGACATGCACCTCCCGGATGATGATGAGATCCGGCGCTGCGAAGCCTGGGCCCTCGGCTGTAGAGCAGGCTGAAATAGATCGCCGCCTGGCCAAAAAGAAGAAAGAGAAAGAAGAAAGAAAAAGACAGAAAGAAGAAGAAATAAAGAAGAAAGTACAGATGGAGGAAGAAAAAATGAAAAAAGAAATGAAAGAAAAGTTAGAAAAAGAATTGCAGGAAGAGCTAAAAACTATAGAAGAAGAAGATGTACCTGCTGCTGACAGGCTCATCAGGCGACGGACAGATAGGGGAGAACTAGCCAGACAGGTGGGGA